TGTCTCTGTGGCGCAATCGGTTAGCGCGTTCGGCTGTTAACCGAAAGGTTGGTGGTTCAAGCCCCCCCCAGGGGCGATGTGTTAGTTTTATTTAAATTTAATTAATAATTTGTAATAACTGATGTATAAGTTTTACATAAATTTAACTTAATATGTAATCAAAATGTTCAATTGTGTTTATTGTTATTTTGTTTAAAATTGCAAAATTAAAATTTTATAATAAAAAGTGTTATAAAATCGGCTGAGCCCACGTATGTATGTCTCTGTGTCGCAATCGGTTAGCGCGTTCGGCTGTTAACCGAAAGGTTGGTGGTTCAAGCCCACCCAGGGACGATGTATCCCTTTTATATAAATTTAATATGTTGTCAAAATATTCAATTGTTTTCATTGGTATTTTGTGTAAAATTACAAAAATAAAATGTTAAAATACAAAGTTTTATTGAATTTTGCTGTGTGTGTCTCTGTGGCGATACACATCTAGATGTGTATAAGAGACAGCTAGGCACCCTATGTTTGTCTCTGTGACGCAATCGGTTAGGGCGTTCGGCTGTTAACCGAAAGGTTGGTGGTTCAAGCCCACCCAGGGACGATGAATTATTTTTATATAAATTTAATATGTTGTCAAAATATTCAATTGTTTTCCTTGGTATTTTGTGTAAAATTACAAAAATAAAATGTTAAAATACAAAGTTTTATTAAATTTGTGTGTTTCTCCGTGACGCAATATTTTAGCGCGTTCGGCTGTTAACCGAAAGGTTATTGGTTGAAGCCCACCCAGTTAAGATGTGTTAGTTTTATTTAAATTAAATTAATAATTTGTAATAAATAATGTATCAATTTTACATAAATTTAATTTAATATTTAATCAAAATGTTCAATTGTGTTGATTGGTATTTTGTTTAAAATTGCAAAAATAAAATTTTACAATAAAAAGTTTTATAAAATCGGCTAGGCCCCGCTATGTATGTTCCTCTGTGGCGCAATCGGTTAGCGCGTTCGGCTGTTAACCGAAAGGTTAGTGGTTCAAGCCCACCCAGGGACGATGTATCTCATTTATATAAATTTAATATGTATATCAAAATGTAGTCAAAATATTCAATTGTTTTTTTTGGTATTTTGTGTAAATTACAAAAATAAAATGTTTTATGACTTTGGCTGTGTGTGTCTCTGTGGCGCAATCGGTTAGCGCGTTCGGCTGTTAACCGAAAGGTTGGTGGTTCAAGCCCACCCAGGGACGATGTGTTAGTTTTATTTAAATTTAAGTTAGTTTTAATTAATAATTTGTAATAATTGATGTATATGTTTTACATAAATTTAACTTAATATGTAATCAAAATGTTCAATTGTGTTGATTGGTATTTTGTTTAAAATTGCAAAAATAAAATTTTATAATAATAGGTGTTATAAAATCGGCTAGAACCCCGTATGTATGTCTCTGTGGCGCAATCGGTTAGCGCGTTCGGCTGTTAACCGAAAGGTTGGTGGTTCAAGCCCACCCAGGGACGATGTATCCCTTTTATATAAATTTAATATGTATATCAAATTGTTTTTATTAGTATTTTGTGTAAATTACAAAAATAAAATGTTAAAATAAAAGTTTTTATGATTTTGGCTGTGTGTGTCTCTGTGGCGCAATCGGTTAGCGCCTTCGGCTGTTAACCGAAAGGTTGGTGGTTCAAGCCCCCCCCCCCCAGGGGCGATGTGATAGTTCTATTTAAATTTAATTAATAATTTGTAATAACTGATGTATAAGTTTTACATAAATTTAACTTAATATGTAATCAAAATGTTCAATTGTGTTTATTGTTATTTTGTTTAAAATTGCAAAATTAAAATTTTATAATAAAAAGTGTTATAAAATCGGCTGAGCCCACGTATGTATGTCTCTGTGTCGCAATAGGTTAGCGCGTTCGGCTGTTAACCGAAAGGTTAGTGGTTCAAGCCCACCCAGGGACGATGTATCCCTTTTATATAAATTTAATATGTATATCAAAATGTTCAATTGTGTTGATTGGTATTTTGTGTAAAACTACAAAAATAAAGTATTAAAATAAAAAAGTTTTCTTAAATCCGCCAGGCACCCTATGTTTGTCTCTGTGACGCAATCGGTTAGGGCGTTCGGCTGTTAACCGAAAGGTTGGTGGTTGGAGCCCACCCAGGTACGATGCATCGATTTTATATAAATTTAATATGTTGTCAAAATATTCAATTGTTTTCATTGGTATTTTCTATGTATGTTCTTCTGTGTCGCAATCGGTTAGCGCGTTCGGCTGTTAACCGAAAGGTTGGTGGTTCAAGCCCACCCAGGGACGATGTATCCCTTTTATATAAATTTAATATGTATATCAAAATGTAGTCAAAATATTCAATTGTTTTTTTTTTGGAATTTTGTGTAAATTACAAAAATAAAATGTTAAAATAAAAGGTTTTATGACTTTGGCTGTGTGTGTCTCTGTGGCGCAATCGGTTAGCGCGTTCGGCTGTTAACCGAAAGGTTGGTGGTTCAAGCCCACCCAGGGACGATGTATCCGTTTTGTATAAATTTAATATGTTGTCAAAATATTCAATTGTTGTCATTGGTATTTTGTGTAAAATTACAAAAATAAAATGTTAAACGTGTTAGTTTTATTTAAATTTAATTAATAATTGATGTATATGTTTTACATAAATTTAACTTAATATGTAATCAAAATGTTCAATTGTGTTGATTGGTATTTTGTTTAAAATTGCAAAAATAAAATTTTATAATAAAAAGTGTTATAAAATCGCCTAGAACCCAGTATGTATGTTTCTGTGGCGCAATCGGTTAGTGCGTTCGGCTGTTAACCGAAAGGTTGGTGGTTCAAGCCCACCCAGGGACGATGTATCCCTTTTATATAAATTTAATATGTATATCAAATTGTTTTTATTAGTATTTTGTGTAAATTACAAAAATAAAATGTTAGAATAAAAGGTTTTATGAATTTGGCTGTGTGTGTCTCTGTGACGCAATCGGTTAGCGCGTTCGGCTGTTAACCGAAAGGTTGGTGGTTCAAGCCCACACAGGGACGATGTATCCGTATTATATAAATTTAATATGTTGTCAAAATATTCAATTGTTTTCATTGGCATTTTGTGTAAAATTACAAAAATAAAATGTTAAAATTCAAAGTTTTATTGAATTTTGCTGTGTGTGTCTCTGTGGCGCGCGCAATCGGTTAGCGCGTTCGGCTGTTAAACGAAAGGTTGGTGGTTCAAGCCCACCCAGGGACGATGAACTATTTTTATATAAATTTAATATGTTGTCAAAATATTCAATTGTTTTCCTTGGTATTTTGTGTAAA